TGACTACCGTCCATAGGATATATGGGGTGACTACCGTCCATACAATGTATGGGGTGACTACCGTCCATAGGATGTATCGGGTGACTACCGTCCATATGATGTATAGGGTGACTACCGTCCATACGATGTGTGTGGGGTGACTACCGTCCATACGATGTGTGTGGGGTGACTACCGTCCATACGATGTGTGGAGTGACTACGGTCCATAGGATATATGGGGTGGCTACCGTCCATAGGATGTATGTGGGGTGACTACCGTCCATACGATGTGTGTGGGGTGACTACCATCCATACGATGTGTGTGGGGTGACTACCGTCCATAGGATATATGGGGTGAGTACCGTCCATACAATGTATGGGGTGACTACCGTCCATGGGATGTATGGGATGACTACCGTCCATACGATGTGTGTGGGGTGACTGCCGTCCGTACAATGTGTGGGGTGACTACCGTCCATACAATGTGTGGGGTGACTACCGTCCATAGGATGGGTGTGGGGTGATTACCGTCCATAGGATGTGTGTGGGGTGACTACCGTCCATAGGATGTGTGTGGGGTGACTACCGTCCATAGGATGCGTGTGGGGTGACTACCGTCCATACAATGTGTGGGGTGACTACCGTCCATAGGATGGGTGTGGGGTGATTAAACCGTCTATAGGATTGTTTTTTGAGGTGACTACCTTCCATAGGATGTGTGTGGGGTGACTACCGTCCATACGATGTATGGGGTGATTACGGTCCATACAATGTGTGGGGTGACTGCCGTCCATAGGATGGGTGTGGGGTGATTACCGTCCATAGGATGTGTGTGGGGTGACTACAGTCCATAGGATGTGTGTGGGGTGACTACCGTCCATAGGATGTGTGTGGGGTGACTACCGTCCATACGATGTTGTGTGGGGTGACTACCGTCCTAGGATGTGTGTGGGGTGACTACCGTCTATCGATGTGTGTGGGGTGACTACCGTCCATACGATGTGTGTGGGGGTGACTACCGTCCATTCGATGTGTGTTAGGTGACTACCGTCCATACGATGTGTGTGGGGTGACTACCGTCCATGCGATGTGTGGGGTGACTACCGTCCATACGATGTGTGGGGTGACTACCGTCCATACGATGTGTGTGGGGTGACTACCGTCCATACGATGGGTGGGGTGACTACCGTCCATAGGATGTATGGGGTGAATACCGTCCATAGGATGTATGTGGGGTGACTACCGTCCATACGATGTGTGTGGGGTGACTACCGTCCATACGATGTGTGTGGGGTGGCTACCGTCCATACGATGTGTGGGGTGACTACCGTCCATACAATGTGTGTGGGGTGACTATCGTCCATAGGATGTATGGGGTGACTACCGTCCATACAATGTATGGGGTGACTACCGTCCATAGGATGTATGGGGTGACTACCGTTCATACGATGTATGGGGTGACTACCGTCCATACGATGTGTGTGGGGTGACTACCGTCCATAGGATGTGTGTGGGGTGACTACCGTCCATAGGATGGGTGAGGGGTGACTACCGTCCATACAATGTGTGGGGTGACTACCGTCCATAGGATGGGTGTGGGGTGATTACCGTCCATAGGATGTGTGTGAGGTGACTACCTTCCATAGGATGTGTGTGGGGTGACTACCGTCCATAGGATGTGTGTGGGGTGACTACCGTCCATAGGATGTGTGTGGGGTGACTACCGTCCATACGATGTATGGAGTGATTACCGTCCATACAATGTGTGGGGTGACTACCTTCCATAGGATGGGTGTGGGGTGATTACCGTCCATAGGATGTGTGTGAGGTGGGGCTACCTTCCATAGGATGTGTGTGGGGTGACTACAGTCCATAGGATGTGTGTGGGGTGACTACCGTCCATGCGATGTGTGTGGGGTGACTACCGTCCATACGATGTGTGGGGGTGACTACCGTCCATACGATGTGTGTGGGGTGACTACCGTCCATACGATGTGTGTGGGGTGACTACCGTCCATACGATGTGTGTGGGGTGACTACCGTCCATACGATGTGTGTGGGGTGACTACCGTCCATACGATGTGTGTGGGTGACTACCGTCCATACGATGTGTGGGGTGACTTCCGTCCATACGATGTGTGGGGTGACTACCGTCCATACGATGGGTGTCGGGTGACTACCGTCCATACGATGTGTGGGGTGACTACCGTCCATACGATGTGTGTGGGGTGACTACCGTCCATACTATGCGTGGGGTGACTACCGTCCATAGGATGTATGGGGTGACTACCGTCCATAGGATGTATGTGGGGTGACTACCGTCCCTACGATATGTGTGGAGTGACTACCGTCCATACGATGTGTGGGGTGACTACCGTCCATACGATGTGTGTGGGGTGACTACCGTCCATACGATGTGTGGGGTGACTACCGTCCATACGATGTGTGGGGTGACTACCGCCCATACGATGTGTGTGGGGTGACTACCGTCCATAGGATGTATGGGGGGACTACCGTCCATGGGATGTATGGGGTGACTACCGTCCATAGGATGTATGGGGTGACTACCGTCCATACGATGAACGGGGTGACTACCGTCCATAGGATGTATGGGGTGACTACCGTCCATACAATGTGTGGGGTGACTACCGTCCATACAATGTGTGGGGTGACTACCGTCCATAGGATGTGTGTGGGGTGATTACCGTCCATAGGATGTGTGTGGGGTGACTACCGTCCATAGGATGTGTGTGGGGTGACTACCGTCCATAGGATGTGTGTGAGATGACTACCGTCCATAGGATGTGTGTGGGGTAACTACCGTCTATAGGATGTGTGTGGGGTGACTGCCGTCCATAGGATGTGTGTGTTGGGTGACTACCGTCCATAGGATGTGTGTGGGGTGACTACCGTCCATAGGATGGGTGTGAGGTGACTACCGTCCATAGGATGTGTGTGTTGGGTGACTACCGTCCATAGGATAGGTGTTAGGTGACTTCCGTCCGTAGGATGTGTGTGAGGTGACTGCCGTCCATAGGATGTGTGTGAGATGACTACCGTCCATAGGATGTGTGTGGGGTGACTACCGTCCATAGGATGGGTGTGAGGTGACTACCGTCGATAGGATGTGTGAGGTGACTACCGTCCATAGGATGGGTGTGAGGTGACTACCGTCCATAGGATGTGTGTGTTGGGTGACTTTCCGTCCATAGGATGGGTGTGAGGTGACTACCGTCCATAGATGTGTGTGTTGGGTGACTGCCGTCCATAGGATAGGTGTTAGGTGACTTCCGTCCGTAGGATGTGTGTGAGGTGACTGCCGTCCATAGGATGTGTGTGAGATGACTACCGTCCATAGGATGTGTGTGTGGGGTGACTACCGTCCATAGGATGGGTGTGAGGTGACTACCGTCGATAGGATGTGAGAGGTGACTACCGTCCATAGGATGTGTGTGAGGTGACAACCGTCCATAGGATGTGTGTGAGGTGACTACCGTCCATAGAATGGGTGTGTGGTGACTACCGTCCATAGGATGTGTGTATGGTGACTACCGTCCATAGGATGGGTGTGGGGTGACTACCGTCCATAGGATGGGTGTGGGGTGATTACCGTCCATAGGATGTGTGTGGGGTGACTACCGTCCATAGGATGTGTGGGATGACTGCCATCCATAGGATGTGTGGGGTGACTACCGTCCATAGGATGGGTGTGGGGTGACTACCGTCCATGGGATGTGTGGGGTGACTACCGTCCATAGGATGGGTGTGGGGTGACTACCGCCCATAGGATGTGTGTGGGGTGACTACCGTCCATAGGATGGGTATGGGGTGACTACCGTCCATGGGATGTGTGGGTGACTACCGTCCATAGGATGGGTGTGGGGTGACTACCGCTCATAGGATGTGTGTGGGGTGACTACCGTCCATAGGATGTGTGTGGGGTGACTACCGTCCATAGGATGTGTATGGGGTGACTACCATCCATAGGATGGGTATGGGGTGACTACCGTCCATAGGATGGGTATGGGATAACTACTGTCTACAGGATGGGTATGACTGATAGAAATTAGGTGTGGGAGGCCTTGTATCACTGATATGTGGATTAGGTCACTTGACTGCTGTCTTAGGTATATCCCAAGGGGGATACTGGGGATATGCCTAAGAGAGATACTGGGTGGTATACCGAAGAGGGATACTGGGTGGTATACCTTGGAGGGATACCGGGGTATACCTAAGAGGGATACTGGGTGGTATACCTTGGAGGGATACCGGGGTATACCTAAGAGGGATACTGGATGGTTTACCTTGGAGGGATACCGGGGTATACCTAAGAGGGATACTTGGTGGTATACCTTGGAGGGATACCGGGGTATACCTAAGAGGGATACTGGGTGGTTTACCTTGGAGGGATACCGGGGTATACCTAAGAGGGATACTGGGTGGTTTACCTTGGAGGGATACCGGGGTATACCTAAGAGGGATACTGGGTGGTTTACCTTGGAGGGATACCGGGGTATACCTAAGAGGGATACTTGGTGGTATACCTTGGAGGGATACCGGGGTATACCTAAGAGGGATACTGGGTGGTTTACCTTGGAGGGATACCGGGGTATACCTAAGAGGGATACTGGGTGGTTTACCTTGGAGGGATACCGGGGTATACCTAAGAGGGATACTGGGTGGTTTACCTTGGAGGGATACCGGGGTATACCTAAGAGGGATACTGGGTGGTTTACCTTGGAGGGATACCGGGGTATACCTAAGAGGGATACTTGGTGGTATACCTTGGAGGGATACCGGGGTATACCTAAGAGGGATACTGGGTGGTATACCTTGGAGGGATACTGGGTGGTATACCTTGGAGGGATACTGGGTGGTATACCTTGGAGGGATACCGGGGTATACCTTGCCGATGACAACATGGTGACCGTCGGTCAGCACGACAATAAAACCACTGGTTTTCTAGACTAATTAAGGAGTGTTGCTTCAAGACAACATCGCTTGTGTAGGCCAGTTTGCCTGGTGGAGTTTAAATGTTTTAGTTACTTGCTGGTTTAGCTTTAAGGTTTAATCAGATATTACAAAAACCACAGTGGAAATAAGTCACTGACTTTTCTTTGGGTTATCGTGGCGGGTAATTCACACATATGTTACTATGTATGATAATTTGTGTTATTGTAGGTATGTATACCATTATAAGCATACTAATTACTGGTTATTTGATAACGTAAGGAGAGGTCAGGCTAGTAATCAAAGAGAGTGATTCCTGGAATCAACACTGATAGTGGTTTCTGTCCAGAAATGTGGTAGTATCAACAAATGAGGTGCGTTGGTCAACTGGGTGTTACTACACAGGTCAGCATTGGTGACCTTTTCCACACATGACTTCTCTTACTCTATATATATTGATAATGTCTTACGCCCTGTGTAGGAGTGAAAAGCTTTCCCGTGGGCGAAATGTGTCGTAATAAAATGTACTAGTAGTGTTGAACGAGTGTTTTACCTATATCCTCTTCCATACTCCCTCTCTCCCTTTCACCAGCCTTTCCCACCTCTCTTTCTCACTCCATCATCCTTTCCTTCCTTCGTTCCATCCCCATCTTTATCAATCTTCCCTCCCTTCTTTTCCCCTAAATCCTCTTCCTTTCCGTCTTCATGGGCCTTCATCTTCTCCTCTTCCTGTTTTGTCTTCTCTTCCATCTCCCCTTCTCTCTTCTTCCTCTCCCATGGCGCCTCATCATCCATAGACCCATCGTCATCAAAAATATGAACATCGAGTTTTGTGATGAGGCTGTGGAAGATGAAGACAATAGAGAAGGCCAGGAGAAGAGGGATGCTGATAGTCTTCAGCCAGTCCTTGATGCTGCAGGGCAGAGATAACGTTGGATATAATAAGGCAGCAAGAGTCGCGGGTTTAAAAAAGATGCTGGATAACACTTGTCTGGAAATAAGTTATAGATAAGTGAAATAATCATTTAAGTAGAGTCTTTGAAGTTACTTGGGTAACGTTATATCAAGTATCGTCACAGAAATATACAGGGAAGACATTACAGCAGAAGTCCCTATGACCTATATCGATGCTATACGATGTAAAGTATTAATAACTTTGGTCTATAATTCTCTCTAGGTTTCCAAACTTTAGTAAAGATACCCATCAATAACGATACCCAACTGTGGTACTTGTGTCTTAATCAAGGATGTAATTAGGTAACGGAATAGGTAATCACCTACTTGTAAGGCTGGTCCGTGATGTAATAAGGTGTCTTAACAAGTCGACGACTGGAGGAGGTGATAATAAGGTCCTGTAAGGGTCTGTTGTTGTAGTCTGTAGCCACAGACTCCATGTGGTAGAGTACAGACATCCCTTCAACCAGCTGTCAGGGTATAGCCAGCTGTTAGTTGTACTGGTAGTACTGGAGCGCTGGTATCTGTGTACTGGGATATGTTGGGTACTGGTGGACTTGATGCTAGTGTAGTGGGGAATGTTGGTGGTACCAGGACTTGACGCTGGTGTACTGGGGAATGTTGGTGGTACCAGGACCTGATGCTGGTGTACTGGGGAATGTTGGTGGTACCAGGACCTGAAGCTGGTGTACTGGGGAATTGTGGTACCAGGACCTGAATGTGTACTGGGAATGTTGGTGGTACCAGGACCTGAAGCTGGTGTACTGGGGAATGTTGGTGGTACCAGGACCTGAATGCTGGTGTACTGGGAATGTTGGTGGTACCAGGACTTGATGCTGGTGTACTGGGAATGTTGGTGGTACCAGGACCTGATGCTGGTGTACTGAGGAATTGTTATGGGGCTATAGGACCCAACATGTATTTATGTATCTGTAACAGTTACTCTGGAGTACCTAATTATATTGAATTGATGGGGACTCTGCTCTAAATGTCATAAGGGCAGATCACTCTTATGACTGTAAGGCAGCTGAGTCAAGTCTGTTTTTCTCAATATAATAGGTTATACTCTAGACACACAAACACACAATTTAAGTAAGTAGTTTATAAAGTTGTATTTCTATTTGTAAAAGTAAAATTAAGGTGTTGGTAGAGATTGGTAATGATGATGTTGTTTTGGAAAATTTTCTTTTGTTTTTTAGATAGGTGTGGGGGACTTAGCTACCGCTTCTACTTTTTTGTTGACTTCAATACGGGTGAGATCTGGGCTTCTATTTGGGGGCATTACGTGAGCTCCAGGAGTGATTTTATAACTGTAAGTTGTGGCCATCATACCAGGGCCTAAAAAATGTGTCAAAACACTGGTTAGGAGTTATGTCAAGTAGAGAGAAGGGCAATTGCAAAAAGAGGACCATGTGACTTTCTGGAGAGCACTAAGGAATATGTAGGCTTATGTTTTGAATATGTGAATGCTGTACTTGTATATTCTGTACATATCTATTTAGAATACAGTTATATTTTTATAGTAGTAGTTTAAAACTGTGAAGGGGCTGGTAAAGTGATCGTGACACTGGGGATGATTCTGTCAGGGATGTAAGCATTACCCTGGACTAAGCTTTATGTAAAAATTGACTCTGCACTGAATGTAGTGGAACCTATACTGTCGTATAAGGGATAACAACATAACAACGTAACAGGAATGTTGTTGGTACCATGACTTGATGCTGGTGCACTGGGGAATGTTGGTGGTACCAGGACTTGATGCTAGTGTACTGGTGAATGTTGCTGGTACCATGACTTGATGCTGGTGCACTGGTGAATGTTGTTGGTACCATGACTTGATGCTGGTGCACTGGGGAATGTTGCTGGTACCAGAACCTGATGCTAGTGTACTGGTGAATGTTGCTGGTACCATGACTTGATGCTGGTGTACTGGGGAATGTTGCTGGTACCAGGACCTGATGCTGGTGTACTGGGGAATGTTGCTGGTACCAGGACTTGATGCTGGTGTACTGGTGAATGTTGCTGGTACCAGGCTTGATGCTGGTGCACTGGGGAATGTTGCTGGTACCAGGACTTGATGCTGGTGTACTGGGGAATGTTGGTGGTACCAGGACTTGATGCTGGTGCACTGGGGAATGTTGCTGGAACCAGAACCTGATGCTAGTGTACTGGTGAATGTTGCTGGTACCATGACTTGATGCTGGTGTACTGGGGAATGTTGCTGGTACCAGGACCTGATGCTGGTGTACTGGGGAATGTTGCTGGTACCAGGACTTGATGCTGGTGTACTGGTGAATGTTGCTGGTACCAGGCTTGATGCTGGTGCACTGGGGAATGTTGCTGGTACCAGGACTTGATGCTGGTGTACTGGGGAATGTTGGTGGTACCAGGACTTGATGCTGGTGTACTGGTGAATGTTGCTGGTACCAGGAACTGATGCTGGTGTACTGGTGAATGTTGCTGGTACCAGGACTTGATGCTGGTGTACTGGTGAATGTTGCTGGTACCAGGACCTGATGCTGGTGTACTGGGGAATGTTGCTGGTACCAGGACTTGATGCTGGTGTACTGGTGAATGTTGCTGGTACCAGGAGTTGATGCTGGTGTACTGGGGAATGTTGCTGGTACCAGGACTTGATGCTGGTGTACTGGTGAATGTTGCTGGTACCAGGACTTGATGCTGGTGTACTGGGGAATGTTGCTGGTACCAGGACTTGATGCTGGTGTACTGAGGAATGTTGGTGGTACCAGGACCTGATGCTGGTGTACTGGTGAATGTTGCTGGTACCAGGACTTGATGCTGGTGTACTGGGGAATGTTGGTGGTACCAGGACTTTGAATGGCTGGTGTACTGGGGAATGTTGGTGGTACCAGGACCTGATGCTAGTGTACTGGGGAATGTTGGTGGTAACAGGACCTGATGCTGGTGTTCTGGAGAATGTTGGTGGTACCAGGACTTGATGCTGGTGTACTGGGGAATGTTGGTGGTACCAGGACCTGATGCTAGTGTACTGGGGAATGTTGATGATACCAGGACCTGATACTAGTGTTCTGGGGAATGTTGGTGGTACCAGGACCTGATGCTAATGTGCTGGGGAATGTTGGTGGTACCAGGACCTGATGCTGGTGTTCTGGGGAATGTTGGTGGTACCAGGACTTGATGCTGGTGTACTGGGGAATGTTGGTGGTACCAGGACCTGATACTAATGTGCTGGGGAATGTTGGTGGTACCAGGACCTGATGCTAGTGTCTGGGAATGTTGGTGGTACCAGGACTTGATGCTGGTGTACTGGGGAATGTTGGTGGTACCAGGACTTGATGCTGGTGTACTGGGGAATGTTGGTGGTACCAGGACCTGATACTAGTGTACTGGGGAATGTTGGTGGTACCAGGACCTGATGCTGGTGTTCTGGAGAATGTTGGTGGTACCAGGACTTGATGCTGGTGTACTGGGGAATGTTGGTGGTACCATGACCTGATGCTAATGTGCTGGGGAATGTTGGTGTACCAGAGACCTGATTCTGGTGTTGTGGAAGAATGTTGGAAGTTGTACCAGGACCTGATGCTGTGTACTGGGAATGTTGGTGGTACCAGGACTTGATGCTAGTGTACTGGGGAATGTTGGTGGTACCAGGACCTGAATGCTGTTTGTAAATGGGGAAATATGTCTGGTGGTTCCATGACCTGATGCTAGTGTACTGGGGAATGTTGGTGGTACCAGGACTTGATGCCAGTGTACTGGGGAATGTTGGTGGTACCAGGACCTGATGCTAGTGTACTGGGGGAATGTTGGTGATTCCATGACCTGATGCTAGTGTACTGGGGAATGTTGGTGGTACCAGGACTTGATGCCAGTGTACTGGGGAATGTTGGTGGTACCAGGACCTGATGCTAGTGTACTGGGGGAATGTTGGTGGTACCAGGACCTGATGCTAGTGTACTGGGGAATGTTGGTGGTACCAGGACTTGAAGCTTGTGTTCTGAGGAATGTTGGTGGTACCAGGACCTGATTCTGGTGTACTGGGGAATGTTGGTGGTACCAGGACTTGATGCTAGTGTACTGGGGAATGTTGGTGGTACCAGGACTTGATGCTAGTGTACTGGGGAATGTTGGTGGTACCAGGACTTGATGCTGGTGTACTGGGGAATGTTGGTGGTACCTGAACCTGATGCTAGTGTACTGGGGAATGTTGTTTTTGCCAAGACTTGATGCTGGTGTACCGGGAAATGCTGTGTACTGGTGGTAGTATACCCTGTATTACTGGTGTACTGAGGTATACTGAGTATTCTGAAGCCAGCATAATGACGGTTTACTGGAGGAGTGTACTGGAGGAGTGTACTGGAGGAGTGTACTGGAGGAGTGTACTGGAGGAGTGTACTGGAGGAGTGTACTGGAGTAGTGTACTGGAGGAGTGTACTGGAGGAGTGTACTGGGGTCTCAAACCTATATTTTGAGGTTAACCTTAAGGGATACTGAGGTATACAATAGGAAATACAAAGGTATATTTTGAGGGGTATTTGTGGTATACCGAGTGGAATATTGGGGAGTACACCTTGGGAATTCTCTGGGTACACTTCGAGGGATACCGGCCTAATCCTTGCAAGATATTAGGGGTATACCTCGAGGGATACCGGGATAATCCTTGCAAGATATTGGGGGTATACCTCGAAGGATACCGGGCTAATCCTTGGCGTACCTTGAGAGATACGTAGAGGGATAATGAGGTATACCTTTGAAAACTGGATGTATCTCGAGGGATACTAGGGTAGACTTTGGGAGACACTGGGTATATTTTGGGAGATACTGGGTATACCTAGAGGGATATTGTTGAATACCTGGGAGATTCTAGGTATACCTAGAGAGATACTAGGTGCTGGGGTACTGGGATATATCTTGGAAGATACTGGGGTAAACATTGTGGATCCTGTGGTATACCTTGGATGGATACTGGGTATACCTTGAGAGATACTGGGGTATACCTTTGGGATATGGGTATACCTAGAAGAATATTGTGGTATACCTTGGATGGATATTGTGGTATACTTTGGAGGGATACCGGAGTGTACACTTAAGGGATGCTGTTGGTATATCGTGGAGGGATACTGAGGTATACCTAGGTGAGATACTGGGTGGTGCATTTTGGAGGGATACTGGGCGGTATACCTTGGAGGGATACTGGGTGGTATATCTTGGAGGGATACGGGGGTATACCTTGGAGGGATACTGGGTGGTATACCTTGGAGGGATACTGGGTGGTATATCTTGGAGGGATACTGGGTGGTATACCCTCTAGGGATATTGGATGGTATGTCTTTTAGGGATATTGAGGTATACCTTGGAGAGATTGAGGGTATACCTTGGAGGGATACTATGTGGTATGCCTAAGAGGGATACTGGGTGGTATATCTTTTAGAGATACTGGGTTGTATTCCTAAGAGGAATACTGGGTGGTATATCTGGGAGGGATACTGAAGTATACCTTGGAGGGATTGATGGCATGCCTTGGAGGGTTACCGGGTATATCTAAGAGGGATACTGGGTGGTATACCTATGAGGGATACTGGGTGGTATACCTAAGGGGGATACTGGGGATATACATAAAAGGGATACTGGGGATATGCATAAAAGGGATACTAGGTGATATACCCAAGAGGGATACTAGGTGGTATACCTAAGAGGGATACTGGGTGGTAAACATAAAGGGATATTGGGTGGTATACCTTGCCGAAGACAACATGGTGACCGTCCAGCCATGGGGTGGCTATGGTAGTCACAAAGAACTGACAACCATTGGTGTCCTTCCCTGAAAAATAATCCACACTCAGTGCCATGCGATGGGTTCTTGATCCAAGGTACTGGAGCTTCCTGTCAGTTCCTTAGATCAAAGCTGAAGTCACTTCCCATTCAAAGAGGGAGGAGGCTTATCCTCTGTGTGTGTGTGTGTGTGTGTGTGTGTGTGTGTGTTGTGTGTGTGTGTGTGTGTGTGTGTGTGTGTGTGTGTGTGTGTGTGTGTGTGTGTGTGTATGTGTGTGTGTGTGTGTGTGTGTGTGTGTGTGTGTGTGTGTATGTGTGTGTGTGTGTGTGTGTGTGTGTGTGTGTGTGTGTGTGTGTGTATGTGTGTGTGTGTACTCACTGGTCGCTACTAGGTCACTCTCCCTGAACTGTGAGCTTTATCATACCTCTGCTTAAAGCTATGTATGGATTCTGCCTCCACTACATCGCTTCCCAAACTATTCCACTTACTGACTACTCTGTGGCTGAAGAAACACTTCCTAACATCCCTGTGATTCATCTGTGACTTCAACTTCCAACTGTGTCCCCTTGTTGCTGTGTCCCATCTCTGGAACATCCTGTCTTTGTCCACCTTGTCAATTCCTCTCAGTATTTTGTATGTCGTTATCATGTCTCCCGTATCTCTCCTGTCCTCCAGCGTCGTCAGGTTGATTTCCCTTAACCTCTCCTCGTAGAACATATGTAGACAGCCTGTACTGTCTGCACAGACAGTCCCTGCTGTCTGCCAGCTTAGTTCATATTTTGCGGCATTTTAGGTGCTGCCCTCTGTAGGCTCACCCACGTCAGTGGGAGGCTGAGCCCACCAGCCCTCACTCCTAGGCCGACCGACTTGACAGACACAAGTGCTCCCCCTCCACGGACTGGCTTGCGGTCACTCCCTCACACTGCCCGTTGTGTACTCACTCCTATCCAATTAAAGCCAAACTAGTCCACGGCCATATCATTGCTACCTACGCTACCTTCATCGGCACTAAACCGCTGTTCAACAGTAAGAACAGCAATAACAGTGGTGACAGCGGAGTCAACGGCATTGTGAGCCTCTTCAGGGGGAGGGGTAAACCCATCGGTCGACGCCAGTCAACATCATCCATCGTCACCCAAGCACCTGGGGCCTAAAGAGTTATCTGTTACCCCCAGGTCTTGAGGGGACCTGAGATAGATCTTCGTCCTAGATTTTTCCCACAAAATTGGCTAGGCGTCAAAGGCGTCTTTCCCCCAGCCTTAGCAGTCATTTGTTCCCCTTTTCCACCCTCTTACACCCCCCCCCCCCCCCTTTCAACACTCTCCGCCCCTTTTCTCCTGCCTCCTACGCGCCCCTACCCCTTTTCTCGTACAAGAGAGGTGAGGGTTTAGTGTGTTGGCTTCTGTGGCCCCCACGCGTGACCACGGGCAGTCTGGGGGGGGTTTGTACCCTAGGCAGGTGTAAAGCCCCAGCCTCCTTACAGCCTTCTTGCTACGAAAACGACGTCCATCTCGCCGTCCATGTGTTTTGTGTTCTTCCCGGTTCCCCCAAAAAGTTTACCTGGTTTAACCACGGGGAAAAACCCAGTTGGCTTAGCCCTAAGCCAGCTCTTTTCAGCCCCCACGCCTCTACAGCAGCTCGGGACTCATTGTGTTACAATATCAGCATCTACGTATCCCCCAGCGTGCATTTTTTTTTTTGGCCCCATTTAAAAATTTTTTTTTTCTTTCCCTTGCTTTTTACATTCCGTTATCACCAGTTTTGTTTTCCCCAGTGATTTGTTACAGTAAAATTACTCGTCCCAGTTCTGTTTACTTAAGTTTGTTTTAGCCGTTGATAGTCCCAGTAAATGTTTCGTTCCCCGGGCGGGAAGCCCAGTCAGTCAGCGCGCCCAGACACGCTTGCCATGAAAATTTAAACACGCACAGCTGGGGATCACCCCGAGTTAGCACGTTCTCCCATCTCTTATACCTCCACAGAGAAACCCCCGGTTTTCCTGTTTTTCCCAAGTCCATTCTGATAATTTTTCCTAGCATTGAACCCCAAGCAGGTAAAATGTACGGGGCGTGTAGTTTTACTAGGCATCCTGAAAGTTTCAGGCCCTGCACCCCCGTCCCTTTCGCCATCCCCTGCACTAAAAGTTAAGAAAAAAAGTGATTACTTAGCATTTCCTAATATTTTGGACATTATTTAACTGTCCGACCATACATTTACAGTTACTGAAGCCATACTTCAGTAATTGTTCATTTTTTAGTTCGTGTACTTTTTGCCCTTACCTACAGTTTCTTAAATTTTGTCATTTTTTTTTGCACCCCTCATTTTAAATTCCCAGTTTTTATTCTGCTTCTTGCACCTCTTTATTGATTTCATTTTTTTCAGTTTTAACCCATTTATACAATTTACCTCCCCTTTCTTTTGAAAGTATTCCTGTGTGCTGAAAATTTTGTTAGTTGCCCCTGAAAGTTAGTCCAATTGTGAAACCTGCACTGTTTTTTTTTGTTAGTGTGTTTTTTTTCTTTAATAAGTGTAATCTTCAAGTATTAAGTATTATTTTATTCTACCTGCGTGATACAATCTGTGCCTAGCCTTACACTTTTTCTTTTTCCCCCATTTATTTGCTTTAATTTTCTATTTTTTTTATCTGTAAATATTCCCCAATGGCATTAATTTTGCTTTTTTGATCCTAAGTCTTTGAGTGTATTTTTGGGAACCTGTTATTACCATTAATTCCCAAAAATTTATTGTAAAGTTCATTAATTTTGTTTTTGGGGTGTGAATTTTTGTTTTCACCAGGAAAACCCCTGCTAACCCCGTGTCCCCTGCTAACCCAGTGTTACACCTGTAACCCCGTTAACCTTTGCCCTATTCTTGAATTTAATAATTTTGCATTTTTAATAATTTTTTTTTTGGGCAATATAGTTTTTTCTTGATACAGTGTATTTTTTTTTTTGTGTTTTTGGCCTATCCCATACTTGATTCTTTGCGTGCCAATTTCCTTTTTTTTTTGCATTCCATTTGCAACTACCAGCAAAAAATCTTTTTAAACTGTGCTGCAGCACATTTTTTGTGTTGTGTAGTACCTGTTTATTTTAAATTTTGTGCAATTTTTGCTCCAGTGTTTCAGTTAAACCCCTTTTTAAAAAAAATTTGTTCCCAGTCTCGGGGTGAAGTTATTGCCCCCTTAGCTTCTTTTGTGCACTTCCCCTGTTTTCATTTCTTGCAATCTTTTTTTTGTGTTCAGAGTGTACACTTTTTTTTTTTGTTTTGCTCAAATTAATTCCATCACTAAGCGCTTACCTGTACCGGGGTGCTGTGTTCCTGACTCTGTGTTAAATTGTACCCAGTGCTACCTTTTTCTTGTTTGACCTGTTTACTCTCTTGTGACCTGTTTGCGTTTGAACAATTGCGTCAGATAAGACACGCAGGGGCCGTCCCATTGTCCGATTCTGTGTGCAGAAAGGGTGCCTCAGCTAGCGTGAACACGCAGCGGGGGGCATCGAACCCCCCGTGCATTTGGTCAACTTGTGGCTCAAGTCTAACCCCGGGGGCCCGGCTATCGTCATCCCCGCCCCTTTTTTTTGAGGGTCGTTCAAATAGATTGACCCATGGTGCAGTCAGTCGAGAGACTTTTAAAGGTTTTTTTGGTGCCCCACGGTACACAGTACATTCGTGCTGCTGTTGCAGCAGTGGTCTCACCCGGGATGATATGGTGCCTTTGTGCAGCTCAATGCGTTTGAAAAGATTCAGTTTTGGGACAAAAATTAAGGGGAAATTTAGGCGTTTTTTTCGGCGTAGCCGCCAACGCCATTACATTGACATCGTTACCAGCGTTTTGGCCAAATGTCAATCCCGGGCACGAAAGCCCCTGGCTTGCATTTGCCGGTTTGAGCAAGCCGCCAAAGCCCTTTACTGTGCCATCAGCCCCACTAAGGGGGGAAAGGGTGACAACTGTATTAAAGCTGAAGACATTTCCCCATGCTGGTGTGGATCTGCGGGGGATCCCCCCCTAACCTCCGAGGTGCATTGATGCGCTGGGATGGGCCTCAGCAGGGGACGTCTGGGTGATAGATGCCATTGACGCGATCAAGCCCCCTGCCGGAAGGCAAGGTTTTCGTTTTGCGGTGATCCTATACCCTCCTTCCGGCCCCGTCCACAGTCCCCCCGCGGTCCAGCAGAAGTACTTTTGCCCTGCTGTCAGCGCCAGCCCACAAAGTTTCTACCCCAGTCCCACTACACTCGCCCAAAAAAAAATTTTTGACCCAGAACAACGTCAGTCAAATACAAAAAAAGCAGTCATCGCCCCTGGACAAGGGCAAAACGTCGCCAGAAAAACACCACCTCCAACCTCACCTTAAAGGGTGGGACTTGTTTAACTGGGGAAAAGCGGGCCTACGATCGGAGTGTTACAACCTAAGTCCCCGCAAAGAAACCTCCCGCCCCCCATGCTCAGATCAAAGTAACCATAACCGCCCCCACGTCAGATCAAAGTAACCGTCACCGTCCCCATGCTCAGTCTCGCGGGGGAGTCTGTATGTCCAAAAAACTTCCAGTCATACTCCCTGAGTGTCGAAAGCGCAAAAGTTGCGTCAGCTGAGTGGAGAAAAGCAGTCGTCGCCCCAATGCCGTGCTCGTGGAACCCCTTTCCCCCTAGTTGGGGGGGAAAGGGCGCGCCCGAAAAAACCGCAAAAAAGACTTAGTAACCCTGTCGGAGTCGTGATTCGCCCCTTTTGCCCGCAATGCATTCGCGCCCTGGGCAGTGATACGCTTGCCGACAGTGAGGAAGCAAGTGTTTTGACTTTGTTCCCGGACTCGTCCCTCCCTTCCAGGTCAGCCTCTCAAAAAAGCGTCGAGCTAAAAGCAGCTGTGACCCCGGGGGATTTTGTCGGCCCGTCATGTTTTCATGTTCGGTATGAAACCCGTGTGGACGCTCATCAAAGCCCACTGCCCACCATAACCCTGCCCAGCTTTTCCTAGATACGGTTCGGTGGTTAACTTTGCCGCTCCCCCTCTTTTCCGAGACTTTGGCCCTTCACGGGGGCCTTGTTGACAGAGCCGTCTGTTTAACCTTTGAGAAAGTCCGGGTAATCCGCGAGGG